GCTCTGCCAGTCTAGCTTTGATGTCCTGCTATATTAACCTTCTGGATTTATTTTTATTTTCCTAATTTGTTTTGAGTATTTTAGAACCTTTTAATTTCCTTAAGGATTTTAAATAATGTGTCAATTTCTACTCAAAAAATATTGCTGACATTCTGAATGAGATTCTGATGAATATTAAAATCAATTTGGAGATAAGTCACATTTTAACAACACTGAATTTTCCAATCCATAGACAAGCTATCACTCATCATTAAGTCTTCTGTAATTTCTCACCAATATGTTGTAGTATTTAAAGCATGGAGCTTTCCTATCATCTATTAAATTTATTCTGATGTATTTCATATTTTATGTTATTAAAAGTGATGTTTACTTGTCAGCATGTTCATTGATAATATATTTATGTGCTATCGAGTGTTGCATATTAAGCTTGTGTGCTGCAACTTTGTTAAGGCCAGTTATTAGCTCTAATAGCCATTTTGTAGATTCCTCTGGGTTTTCTAGATAGAAATTTGGTTAGCCTGCAAATACATACTGATTTATTCCACTTTATTTTCCAGTCTTCACTTTTTTATTTCTTTTTCTTGCCTGATTGCATTAGCTAGAACCTCCAGCACAATGACAAACAGAAGTGATGGTCCAGGTACTCCTGCCTTAGCTTTTAACAGGAAATAATGCTGTCTCTCATCATTAAGTACACTTAGCTGTGAGTCCTTTAAAGATGCCTTGTATGAAATTGATAGTGCCCCTCTTTTCCCTAGTTTTCTGAGTTTATGTCAAGAAATACTGCCTTTTCCCCTTCTTCTGGGCATTTTTCTCACATGGATGCACTGAGTAGAACTCAGGTCTGTTCCAGAGATAGAATCTTCCGCCGTTGTTCAGGGTTTTTCTTCGAACAGTTTCTCTTCTCCAGTACTTCTCCCCATAAACTGTAGCTATCCGGGCTTCCTTGGATTACCAAGGCCATTTCTCCAAATCAAGGAGAACGCCAGGCTCAGCATTATGGTGGCAGCTGATGACACAATCTGGATACGCTCAAGGCAATATCCTGGAAACTCTCACTTCATTTGCTTCTTTTCTCTCAGACGTTGTTTTTTTTTTTTTTGTCTGATGTCCAGTGTTTTCAAATTCATTGTATTGCATGCTTTATCTATTTTTAGTTGTTTCTGCAGAGAAATGAACATCATCTTGGTTATGCCATACCACTTTGAAACAGCAATCACTCCCAAATATTTTATTTTTTGTTCTCTCTCTCTCTCTCCTTCCTCTCTCTCTCTCTCTCTCTCTCTCTCTCTCTCTCTCGTATATGGTAGTGTGTAGTGTGTGTGTGTGTGTGTGTGTGTGTGTTGCATACATGTGAGAGTGTGGTTGAGTGCACAGGACATCATGTGTCTTCCACAACGGTTCTCTGCCTTTTTGCCTTGAAACAGTTTGTCACTGAACCAGAAGCTCTCCATTCCAGACAGACTAGTTGGGCAACAAGTTCTCTGGATCCTCTTGTCTCTACCTCCAAATACTAAAGCTTCACACCTGAGTAGCCATTCCAACCCTTTACGTGGTTGCTTGGGATTCAAACTCAGGTCCTCGTGCTTTCAGAGCAAGTTTGGCAAGAGTTCATGCCCACTGAGTCATATCACCAGATTTGCACTGTATTAGTTACTTTTCTGGTACTGTTATAAGACACCACGACCAAGGAAACTTATAGAAGGAACAGTTTATTTGAGCTTGTGGTTCCAGGGATAAGAGTCCATAATGGTGAGGGAGGCATGGTGGCAAGGGTGGCCAGAGCAGAAAGCTGAGCAGGCACAGGAAGCAGAGAATGACTGGAACTGCCAAAGCCCACCCCCAGTGATGTGTTTCCTTCAAGAAGGTCACACCTCCTAAAATATCCCAAAAGTATGCCACCAACTGGGAACAAAATGTCCAAATGCATGAAGCCTATAGAGATATTGTTTTTCAAACCTCACACTCATCCTCCTAATTTTTATGTAGTCACAGTTTTAGGACTCACTATATATATAAGTCATGAGCTAGTCTGAAGAATTTATGTGCTTTCAAAATTCTCCAATGCATTCATTAATAATCCTGGTTTGTGAAATACATATTTGTCCTTTATTTTATATCTAATGAAACTCAAGAACTATGGAATAGTTCATACCATGACTAGGACCATGAACCCAGGTTCCCTGATATTCTGCCCATGACATCTTCTAGCTTCCATATGTATAACAATGTATCTGCTAGAGCCTGTGCTGGGAACCCTAATTTAATTCTTATACATTTTAACAATGCTTAATTAGCTAAATATTAGAAAATCTTTAAAAGACATTGGGGTGCTCAATGGAAATTGGACGCTTCTTGCCCTGTTATAAATATCACATGCCTGTTCAGATGATGAAGGGATGATGTAGCTTCATTTTATGTGTCAGAGGTGAACATCATACCCCAAAGGAAAGACATCAAGCACTAATGCAGTAAATACTCATGAAAACTACTTTCTGTCCTCTAAATATCACTGGGTACCATTCCAATGTCTCCCCACCTCAAAGCTATTTCCCAATTTCCCAGTGACATTGGCTGTTCTTAGGAATGCATTAAGCCCAGCTGAGTGCTTACCTCTTCATGATGTCTCCTTGCAAATCCTGTCAGAACTTTAGTTGCTCCCATTTCCCAATGCCTATTGTGCAGTTCAGGCAACACTATTTTAACTGTCTCAGGAAACTCAGATGTGGGGTTTATGTCTATCACACTCACATCCAAACCTTATCATGTGAATTTTCCCAGGTAGCTTACTTCATAGAAATTATTGATTTGGTATATCCATTCACCCTTTTCAGTTACTCTAGAAATATTCAGAAACCTAAAATATATAATACAATATTACATCATATGAATACATAATGAGGAATAAAATTATGATTACATAATTTAAATACATGTGATATGAATATAGTTTTTTTCTTCTCTGGTAGTCTGCCTGGGAATATCTGAGAAACAGATACTGAGTTATATTAAGTTTAATTAATATTAAACAGCATTAAGTTGGCAAGTCCGTGTCTTTTGTACTGCCAAATTTCTGATCTCAGAAGTAGCTAAACTGGCTTTCAGTGAGTAACTATGGGAGAGTTGTCTCCACTGATACTCTTCTATATAGAACACACCCTGGCAGCTCTAAGTCCTCAGCATTGTCCACTTACCCTTCAACATCACAGATTCTTAGGAATTACTCTTGAAAAGAATTAATCCCTCTACACAAATGTCAATTTATAATGAAACTTTATCCTCTTGTCCTTCAAATCATCCTTTAAATTATTCATACCCAGTCAAGCTTCATGTATAAACAACATAGTGTAACTTTGATAGACTTTGATAGTTTAATGTTAAATTCAATGTCATATTTTATCTAGGATAGAAAAAAATGGGTGAGCTGTGTCTGTACAGGTGACTTAAGCTAGGAATGCCTCACCTAGCTCAATAAAAACTCTGATCACATATGCATTCAGTTGATGACGAACTTAACTTTCTGAAACTAAGAGCCATGTGTATTTTATCCAAAAAATCATTAAGAATCATTTAATGCTATCATTTTCAAATGAGTTAGAGGGAAGGAGATGACAGTAAAGAGACTCACCAGGGGTAATGAGAGGAATACATAGAGGCATCCTGAGAATATACAGCTTGACAAGATGCTCAAGGAAATTATTTATAACTTTCCACAGGTTGAAAATCACTGATCCAACAAAACTTGACAGCCCTGACTACCATCTGAGGAGTTTTTTAAAAATCCATACTAGCAAGTCATATAACAGACCAGATTAGCCTCAAGTTGAACCTAGCACCAATACTTTAAAGAATCTGGCCAGGTGTGATAGTGCACACCTTTACTCCCAGCACTTGAGAAGCAGAGGCAGATGGATCTTTGTGAAATCGAGGTCAGCCTGCTCTACATAGCGAGTTCCAGGGGAGCTGGGGCTACAGGGAAACCCTGTTTCAAAAAGCATTTCTTCTGGGCTCACAGAGAAAGTACAATTTGGTAATACTTGAGACAGGACAAGTCCCCGGGTCTACTGGACAGCCCCTCACCATCTCTCTAGACAACTCTACCAAGGATCCTTGATTCCTTCAGGGAAAGTGTTAAGTTTAAACGTGTTCTCTTTAATTGTAGTAAACTAAAAATAACATAGCATTTACCATCTTCATCCCTTTAAGTGTATATTTCAGCAGTGTTGAACATATTAGTGCTGTTTTGCAACAGATCTGTAGAACATGTTCATTGTACAAAACTGAAAGTTGAACTGCGACTTCTGTTGCACCTCCCACGGTCCCCAGGAAATGCCATTCTGCTGTTTCTATGACTTAACTCATATTGATCCTTCTGTATATGAAATAATATAATGCCTTTTTAGGAATGGCATATATTCCTGAGGACAATGTCCTCAAGGTTCCTCCTTTAAACTATGATTTTCTTCTTTCTAAAACTTGAATGATAGGGACTAGTGAAAAGGCTCGTCAGTTAAGAGCGGATACTGCTCTTGCAGAAGCCACATCAGGTGGCTTACAACTACCTGTAACTCCAGTTTCAAGGGACCTAATGACCTCTTCTAGCTTCCACTGGTATCTACACTCATGTACACATAGCTACAGACAGACAGACAGACACACACACACACACATTCATAAATAAATAAAAAATAAATAAAACCTTTTTTAAAGTTGTATGTTATTCCACTGCGCATATAAACTACATTTCTTTATCTGTTCATCACATTTCTTTATCCATCAGTAGACATTTAGGTGATTTCTACTTCTTATCTACTGTGAATAATGTTGCAATAAACAGGGGGATGCATATATCTTTTCAAGATGTTGTTTTGAATTATTTTTGATGTGGTGTGACTGTTGAATCATCTGGAAATTCTATCTTTAGTTTCTAAGGACCCTCCATATTGTTTTCATAGCAGTGTAGCATTTTGCATTTCTGGTAATCATGTACAAGTCTTCCATAAAGAAGGGAATGCTTGAAGAATTTTCATGTCATGCTTGCACAGAGACCATGCTAATCTTCTCTGTGTCGTTCCAGTTTTAGTAAATGTGCTGCCAAAGCAAGCACTAATTAAATAAATCTTGATGCAATTTTCATAAATTCTTATTAACAAATCCCAGGATGGTGGCAGACAGAGTCTCCCAGATTTTTTTTAATATGCATGTTTGAATAAATAATTTCATTTTAAAGAGAATCAAATCAATGGTCAAGGAAAAGTTGCTAATAGAATCCTCAGTGATGGCAGCCCTCATCTACGAACTTGAAATTCTCAGGCTCCATCCCAGACTACTGATTTAGAAATTCAGTGGGTGAAGATTAGCAACCTGTCTGGAAAGCCTTTCAATATATACAGACACATGCTCAAATTTGAATCACTCTCTGTCATGATTTTATGAGTCTTAAGAAGAATCTTCTAAATCTCATACTTTTCCTATGCTATGCTTTCATTAGATAAAAATGCTAACATACATACTCCCTCATGCTTTTCTGTGCATTTTATTAGTTGGTATTAGTTGGTTAGTTGGTATTTTTACACTGTTTAAGTTAGTGACTTGGAGGTTGAAAGAAGATTTGGGGGTTAGTTCACCCTAAGAATTGTAACTACATAACTCTTAGTACCTGTTTTCTATAAAATGATAGGATTAGCTAGGTGTGGTGGCACGTGTCTTCAGTCCCAGTGCTTGGGAGGCAGAGGCAGGTGAATCTCTGTGAGTTCAAGGCCAGCCTGGTCTACATAGCGAGCCCCAGTCCAGCTGAAACTACAGGGAGACTCTGTCTCAAAAAAATGATAGGATTATCTCACGATGGCAAATATGTCTTAGATGTTATCACTTCTTCTCCAGAACCTAAAGTTGATGTTGCTCATTACCAAGACATGCCAAGCCACATAGGCTAGATGGACATAAGTCCTCCCAACACAGTTTTGCCATGGCTTTCCAGACAATATGTTCCCTATTACTCTGTCTTTCTCAAATGATATGCATTATCAACATTATTGGATTCTTTAATCTTACAAGTATTCTATGAGCTTGTGTTTCTCATCCAAAAAATGTTAGTGATGTTGTCTCCTTCATGGATCATTTAGAACATTTAAATAAACATAGCTGATCAATTAGATCAATGTAAATCACCATGTTTTTTAAATTTTTTATTAAATTTTTGTGTATTTCATACAGAACATCTCAATCAAACTTAATCTTATATACCCCCTTCCCCACTGGCACCCTCCCATAGCCCCTCCACTGGAATTCATATATTCTGTCATTTGTGTTAAGGCCTATTGTGTCAAGTTAGTGTCCCCAAACATCCCTCGGAGCAAGTTCATCTATTGAGGTCTAGTCAGCCAATCTAGAGTCCATTGCATTAGGAAGATCAGCTCTTTCTCACACAGCAGTAATCAGTTGCCAATATGTCCTCAACTAAATTGTGGTCTGCTGCCCATTACCCCAGTTCTATGCTGGATTTTTGTCTGTTGAGTTTGCATGGGTCTTGTGCCTGCTGACACCATTGTTGTCAGTTCATATGATCAGGGTCCCAAGAACTTGTAAAACTCTATTTCTATATGGTCATGCACCTCCTCCCTGGATGTTACGATCTTTCTGCCCCCTTTCTGCAATGGTCCCTGAGCCCTGGGTGGATGAGGTTTAATACAGGAGTCCTGTCCAAGGACCAGAATTCTGCAAACTCTTAATCTCTACATTTTGGTAATTTTTGGTGATTTGTGAGCTTTTCTGTACCTGGGCCTCTGTCACATGAGGGAGTTTCATTGATAAGAATTGAGATATTCATTAGTGTCCTCTTCACCCTTTGTTCTATATTCTATGAGCCTTAGGTGTTGAAGTTACATTCTAAATGTGCCACTTAGGCTTGGGCGTTTCACGGATAATGTGTATGTGACCAGTTGTGGTACTCTGTAATAGACTGTCTAGTACAAAAGAAGCTTCTTTGATGAGTGGTGATTGGGATATGTGTCTGTAAACGATATATATTTTTCAAATAGTAAAATATTATATTGGTCTAGGAATGTGACAGTCTTGGAGTTTTCTCTAAGATCTATGACCTCTCCAGACACGTGTATTTGGCTATGTTTATTACAATACCACACATGAATTTCTTCCCATTCAGTGGACTTTTAATTCAATTACAAAGCTGTTGGTTGCCCCCAAGATAAAAGTGGCACTACAGCACCAAATTCGTATGCTGTGTCATATGTGTGGTTGTTTGGTTTTGAAGCTGGTGTGGGACCATTGATCGATGTTCTCCCTTAGCACCTTCCGTAGCACTCTCCAAAGCTATGAGAGGTAGCCTTCAGGGGGAGTGACTTCCAGGTCAGTTCCAGCTCCATTGCTCAAATCCTGTGTCCAAAGTATGTTCTGTCTTCAGCAATAGGATCTTACCTTCAAGTTCTGGGAGGCAATCAAGGGTTGTGGCAATAGCCTGTATGATTTTGGAAGCCTCTTGGACTACCCTGGCCAACAACTCAAAGAAAGGTTTCCCCTATCTGGCACCATTTCTTGTTATGTAACCTTCAGCTATACACATGTGGAGATATTGTATGTGTAATTTGTCTTTATTGGACTAATATGATTCCCTCTGTTTTTTTCTACACTAGCTAGATATTATTGATTCTCTCTCTCTCTCTCTCTCTCTCTCTCTCTCTCATCCTTCTTCCATGCCTTCCCTATTCAAAGTGTCAGCATTTTCCCCATTTATCCCTTAATAATACCATTCTCATATGGTCCCACCTCTCTTGAGCTCCTTCTTTCTCTTTATCCCCAGTTTCTTGTATAACCCCCACCCCCGCATTTAAATACCTGTATTTTATCCATTTCTCCTTTAGTACACTCTTGGGTTCCTTCTTCCCCTTTCCCTCCTTTGTCTCTTTCTATTATACTGATTCCAGCAGTTTCATCAGGACACATACTCACATATAAGGATTTGGTACTAAGATCCACATACAAGGAAGAATATACATCGTTTGTCTTTCTGAGTCTGTGTTGTAAGTCACCATGTTTTTTAAATGTCAGTAAGCCTGTTTTTGCATTCTTTACTCTTCCTTATATTCATTTTCATCACTTGTTTTATTCTTGGTCAACAGTTGGAGCAGATTCAGTTCAGTGCTGCTCTGAGTAGTGCTGGTGCTCGTGTTATTGACTGGGGAATATGGGAAATGACCCCCTTTAGCCTATGCTTCTGTTATATTTCCTTCATCAGCCTTCTAGACAAGTGTCCTGATTAGTTTTTATTGTCAACTTGACACAACTTAGAGACACCTGGCAAAGAGGGAATTTCAACTGAAGGATTGCCTTGATCAGATTAGTCTGTGCTGATATATGTGACAGATTGTCTTGATTGAGATTCGTGTGGGAGGGGTCAGTCCACTGTGGATAATACCATCTCTATGCTGATAGGCCTGGGCTATATAAGAAAGCTAGTAAGCATGAGTCAGAGAGTAAACCAGTGAGCAGCATTCCTCTGTGATTTCTGTCAGTTCCTGCATCTGCATTCTTTTCTTGAGTTCCTGCTTTGATTTCCTTCAGTGATGAGCTGTGAGATGGAAGAATAAGATGATATAAACCCTTTCCTCCCCAACTTGTTGTTGGTCATGGTGTTTATCATAGCAATAGAAAGTAAACTACAACATAAATTAGTACCAGAAGTCGTGTTGCTGTGTTGAACCTGCCCATGTTGTTCTGGTGGAAGACTGTGAAAGCAATTAGAAATTTGAGCTGGAAAAGCCATTGAGTGCTCAGAGCTTAATGGGCTGTTCAGTGGGAGTTTGGATGACAGGAATGCTGAGAATAATGCAGATGATGGAGGCTTCATTTGTGAAGTTTCAGAGGGAAGCATAAGGACTCTATCAGGGCTGCTTGTGTGATATTTTGGATTGAGTCTATGGAAACGAAATTTTCTGTACTTGACTGAGACAAGGGTGTTAATCATCTGTGGTTGGAAAACATTGGGATTATCAAGAGACCAGCTAAAGGGTCAGCATACAGAAGCTATGGTCCAAGGGGGCCAAAGCTACACACTAAGCTGATAGCAAAATTTGGCAAATAATGTGAAAGGGTGTCCCACATAGTACTGGTTTTGAAGGCAGTAAGGGGTCATGGAGAGATGCTGAGGCTTGGCACTATGTGGCAGGGTTAAAGTCCCTACAAAGAGGCACTGGAGGACCACTGGTGAAAGTAAAGCCTCCGTTTCAGTGTATACCCCAGGATTGAAGGAGTCATGGAGAGAAGCTGAGGTTTGACACCAAGAGGCAGGGTAGAGTCCCCGTAGAGAAGTCATTGCTGAGGGTGCAACGTCAGTAGCAGTAGACACTCCAGAATATTGGAGATACAGGGACCATGGGACATCTGCCAAGGACAATAGCAGATGTGGAGTGGAACTTGCCTGAGTCTACAAGCAAACTATGTGTTCTATGGATGGCAGAGAAAGACAAATATGGCTTCCCAAGCTATTTGGAGACCTGAAGATCATGAGTAAATACCAAATGTCAAACATTGCACTGCACTATTTGGATTTTTGCTATGGGCTTTTGGTTTGGGGTAAGTCTGACTGTTTTGTGATGGTGGTAGTGGCAGAGGTGGTAGTGGTGGAGGTGATTGTGGTGGTGGTGGGTTTTTATGTTTATGAATGTACTGCCTGCATGCATGTAAGTGCACCCATGTTGTACCATGCCCTCAAAGTTCAGAGGGAGGCATTGGATCCCCTGAAAGTTGTGGATGGCTGTTAGTCATCATGTGGGTACTGGGATTTGAATCTGTGTCCTCTTCAAGAGCAGCCAGTGCTCTTAACTGCTGAGTCATCTCTCCATCCCAAATCTGACAGTTTTATGACCTGGGTTTCTAAATACTTATCCTTATATTCACCTGTAAATGTTACTCTAATCATTCACCAAAGAAGCTTTTTGGAGCTTATGGAAACTATTATAAAGTTCCACAGTCAGTCACCATGCAGAGTATAACTAACTACGGGGTACCTTTCCCCAATTAATACTTCTACAATCCTCAGGGAATATCATGAAAGAGGAGGGTAGAAAGATTTTAAGAGCCAAAAGAATG